CTATAGATATGTAGAGATGTCTAGACACATTTTTTTACATATATTTAGTTTTGTATAAATTAAAGTTTGTGGGATTTTAAAACTCAATTCTAGAATCTCTCAAATTGTAAACATGTGGATAGATTGTAGTGGTTTATTGTTAGATTATTGACATATAATGGGTAGTGATTTCATTTGCTTCTCACCAACCAACCAAGTTGACTTTGTACGAGGAGGAATAGTGATTCACTCTTTCATTTCAAGTACTATCTAATGTGAGAGAAGTTTACCTCATACTCCGACTATATGATTGGGTTCAAAAGGGGATAGACTTTACTAACTTATTAAGACTAATGTTGTTCTCTTTGTAGAATCAAAACACTTACGATTATATATAGGAATAAAGAGAGTATTTATGATTTCTCCCAAATTTTTTTTAATAAAACAAAATATAATCTTTTCTCGAAAATTGATAATAAAAAGAAATTGAATGCAACCATTCAATCAATTCTAAAAATTTAAATACAAAAATGGAACCTCTTATTTATGTCTTCAATTTATCTCAACAAATTTTAATGAAAGAAAATGGACGAAAAAATCAAGCTTTGGTGACTGAACAAAGAATGTAAAACTTCTAGCAGCTAAAACCCTTTGTGAAAAAAAAAAAAAAAAATCCAAAACTTTAATTTTACAAAAAAAAATAAAAAAAATCCTTTTATTTTCCTACAATTTTGAGGTAATCAAACAATGCGAACATTTCATAGTAAAGAGTTGAAATCCAGAGTATAAAGAGAAAGAAGAAGCTAGAACCCTAGCTGTCTTGTTCCCAATAGTTGTTTCTCCTTGGCCTGAAATAGAACCACTGACAGTAAAGTTTATTGGCATGAATTCCTCTTCAGTCTTGAGAGGGGTTTTGACTTCTTTCATTTAACAAGAAAATTATCTACTACTAGGAAGGGAATGAACTATCTTTCTTCGAATTAGCCCACGTAAGCTTCTCCTTACTTCCTTGCCCCTAGTTGAAAAAGTCTCTTAAGGAGGGTTTTGTACATGCACTGCGTAATGGTTCAAGCCTGCCAGAAGCTGGATAGGGCTAGCTACACTTGGTCATCCGCGGATAAAAAGTATGCTTCGAACCTTTCTTCAGTAGTAACTTGGAAGTATACACAGTATCATCGGCAAGAAATAAGAACAATTTGAGAAAGACGAAATTTTGTCAAACGTCCCATGGAGATGACAAAGTGAGAAAAACACCCTTAATGTTTAAATTTTGTCAAATATCACCTATAACATTTTTTTTTTTTAGTATATACTATATAAGTGCGTTAAATTTAAAAAAAAAATGATCAAATAAGGGTTTGAGGTCACTGTTTCGTTATAAATTTAGTTACCAACTTGGATAAAGAAGCCTAACATGGATTCTAGTCCTGTTTGTCTGTGTAACTTTTCGTTTTTTGTCAGTACTATGTCATCTTCCTTTGTTGTATATATATCTATTGCTAATTTTGTTCTGATTTGTATTTTGTTTCTCCTAGTCCTGGATTCTAGCTGGGGGCTGGAACTTGAATCCGGAATAATTGTTCGTTGGAAGTCAAAGATTGAAAGACAATCAGAAAAATGCTTGATGGATTTAATTATTACGGGGTGGGGGTGGGGGTCGGTTATGGGGTACGGTTGTGGAATGGTTACAGGGTGAAAAAACTAAACAGAATGAAAAATGAGATCCGGACCTCAAACCGTTCCATTGTCATTCCTAATCTCATGCTTCATAGCCACAGACAATAAATTTTCATATTTAGGATGGGCCAAACTACTTATTCAACTTAAGCTAGGCGGACTAAACTCTAAATTTAATTTGAGTATGGAGAAAATAGTTAACAAGTTTAGAAACTAGGCTTGCCCATAGTCTTTGGGCTAGACTTTCCTAATTTACCACTACAATTTCAGTTGACTCTTTGTACCAACTATTTCTAATCTAAAATGAGAATGTTTATTTATTTATTTTTCCTTTTCTTTTAGCAAAAAGGCAAATAAAATTAGAATGTTATATAATATGAAGCTCTTACCGTCACTAAAATAATGAAACAAACATACTAGTGGTTCAATTTACATAGTACTGGCCTATGCTCCTATGACAAAGGAAGAAAGCACCAGTAACTCCAATTTCTATTAAAAAGGAAGAAAGCACCAGTAAATCAAATTGGGTACTAGAAACGAGATGAAAACCTCCAAAGAAGCCCAAAGGCAACAAACCCGGCCCAAAGCCAAGCCTAACAAAACAAACAGAACCAAACCCACCCAAAATAAAAGGGACCGTTGAACCAAGTACCATTTAAATAAAAGGGACCGTTGTTCTCACTGTATCTTGTTATAAGCCACCAGTAAATTTGGGAAAACATTCCTTATAGTCCATTTTGGCCGGGGATTTCAATTTCTTATTATACCCCCATTATAATTGTTATGTTATTTAAATACCCCTATTTGTAACATCTAAAATTTATATAAAATTTTAGTTGCCCTCTGCCCCCAAATTTTTTCAAAACACTTATATATTAATTATGAAAACAATAATGCCAACAACAATAATATTAGACGACAAATTCTCTATTTTGTTCCTGCTAACTGTGGTTTACATTTTTTAAATATTGTTTAAGATAAAATGCTATATTTTTCTCTTAATATTTTATCAAGGTAATCATGACATTTTTTCCAAGTGAAATAAAAGTAATTAAAATTTTCATTTTTCAAAAATTGAAAAAATTGTTGAATAAAATTTAATTCTTGAATCGTTTTTTTTTTTTTTTGGTACAACTTCTTCCTCTTGCCCCCTTCTGTATATTTTTTTTCCTTCTTCATATCAGTTTTCATAACTATTTATTTGGTTTCATTTTCTTCATTTTCGTAAGTGATTTGTACTTTTCGTTAATGACATTGACAACATAGAAAAGAAACAAAATAATTTAAATTAAACAAAAGCTCGACAACATTAATTCAACAATCAGCATGTAAATTATAGTTTTCTAGGATATAATTATTTTGGACCATTTTGAACCCTTTTGAGCTCCTTGAAATTAATAATGAAACCCTTGTGAATTTTTTCCTCCCCGTTGGTTCAAGAAAATTTGTATGAGGTTCACGGCATCCTCATATGAATCATATAATTGGTGTTAAAAAATGAATGATGTACATTTTGCAAGTGTCTAGTTTGATGAAATGCCAGCACAGGATCCTTGATTACGTCATCATATTACACAAATATATATACATTATGCAACTTGTATACATAAATGCATAAATATACATATATCACAAGCCTTAAATGCCATGCAATGCTAGTTCCGGATGGCGTCAACCTAGGGTATCCTAAGCCTCTCATGGCTTCAATAGTCTTAGCTTGATCTCCCCGAACCATATCTGATACGGCCTATCGACGATAGGAGGCACCATGGGCATAAAATCCGAATCATGCCTATCCAGCAAGCCCCAATAGCAAAGACTGTGCGCTGCACAGGATGTTGAAAAGACAGCCATGAGTTATGTGGTCAGTTATTTCAATGCAATGGTGCAATGGGGCACGCATCTCTACACAATTAACTACTGCTGCCATTTAGAGAGAGAGTTAAATCGAAAGTTTGTTTTTTTTCGATCTCATGTTCTGAGTTGTTTCAGTGGATGGATTCGCTGCATCTAAGCACTATATCTGAGTCTGACGTTTCTGGTGCTTGTGATGTTGTGCTCGGTTGTCTCCGGCAGTCCTATGACATCATGGCTGACGTTTTGGGCTGATACTTTCGATGTTTTATTTTCCTTGTTGGTGGGTCTGGTATTTAGCTATGTCAACACCTTCCAGATATAGGTTATTGTCAAGGCTGTGATTTTGACATTAATAGGGATTAGTTTTGCTTTAGATAGTTTTGTGTCTTTTGGCTTCGTATGTATTTCTTTGTTGTATATATGATTTACTGTTCTTGTCCACGTAGATGCCGTACAGTAATTTTCTTGCCAGGTTAGGAAAAAAAACAAAAACTACTGCTGCTGCCATTTTGTTTTTTTAAAGAACAGAAGCAGATAACAAGTCACATAAACAAAAAAAACTCCACATCATTGTGGACCGAAAAGAATACAATCTACACCTCAAGATTGGGGAAAAATTAGAGTTACAAGCCCCGTTGTTTCTTTTCCACTAGTATTAATGGTTCAACTAAACTCACTCAACACTTAAAATACCGGATTGGATTGTAAACGTTGCTGCAAAATATATATATATAGGCTACAAAAAGACATTTGTCAGTGTTCTAAAGTTCTCCTCGTTCAAATAAACAAGTACACCCAGTCATTGAGATTGCTCGTTTAGTAGATCATAGCCATTTGAAACTAGGACATAGAAGTTTTAGATTCACCTTAATGAAAAGGAAATATAAAAATATAACAATTAACAAAGAAGTCTGATATTGTAGAAAGGAATTCAGTTTACTATATATATATATTTTTATGTATAGTTTGAGTTTCCTATGACATGGTTGACGTTTTGGGCCAATATTTTCGATGTTCTATTTTCCTTATTGGTGGAGCAATCCTTGGCTATGCCAACTCCTTCTAAATATAGGTTGTTGTCAAGGCTGTGATTTTGACATTACCGGAGGATTAGTTTTGCTTTGGATAGTTTTGTGTGTTTTGGTTTTGTATGTATTTCTTTGTTGTATGTATGATTTACTGTTCTTGTTCTTGTCCATGTAGATGCCGTACGGCGATTTTTTTTTTCTTGCCGGGTTTAAAAAAAAAAAAAACCAAAAAACTGCTGCTGCCATTTTGTTCTGTTAAAGAACATAAGCAGATAACAAGTCACATAAACAAAAAAAACTCCACATCATTATGGACCGAAAAGAATACAATCTACACCTCAAGATTGGGGTAAAATTAGAGTTACAAGCCCCCTTGTTTCTCTTCCACTAGTATTAATGGTTCAACTAAACTCTAACTCAACACTTAAAATACCGGATTGGATTGTAAACGTTGCTGCAAAAAAAAAAAATTATATATTTATATATATCTATATATATATATATAAATACGTATAGGCTACAAAAAGACATTTGTCAGTGTTCTAAAGTTCTCCTCGTTCAAATAAACAAGTACACCCAATCATTGAGATTGCTCGTTTAGTAGATCATAGCCATTTGAAACTAGGACATATAAGTTTTAGATTCACCTTAATGAAAATGAAATATAAAAATATAACAATTAACGAAGAAGTCTGATATTGTAGAAAGGAATTCAGTTTACTATTTTTTTTATGTAAAGTTTGAGTTTCCTATGACATGGTTGACGTTTTGGGCCAATATTTTCGATGTTCTATTTTCCTTGCTGGTGGGACCGATCCTTGGCTATGCCAACTCCCTCTAAATATAGGTTGTTGTCAAGGCTGTAATTTTGACATTACTGGAAGATTAGTTTTGCTTTGGATAGTTTTGTGTGTTTTGGTTTTGTCTGTATTTCTTTGTTGTATGTATGGGTTACTGTTCTTGTCCATGTAGATGCCGTACGGCGGTTTTCTTTTTCTTGCCGGGTTTAAATAAAAAAAAAAACCAAAAAACTGCTGCTGCCATTTTGTTCTGTTAAAGAACAGAAGCAGATAACAAGTCACATAAACAAAAAAAACTCCACACCGAAAAGAATACAATCTACACCTCAAGATTGGGGTAAAATTAGAGTTACAAGCCCCCTTGTTTCTCTTCCACTAGTATTAATGGTTCAACTAAACTCTAACTCAACACTTAAAATACCGGATTGGATTGTAAACGTTGCTTCCAAAAAAAAAATTATACATATATATATATATATATATATATATATATATATATAAATACAAATACGTATAGGCTACAAAAAGACATTTGTCAGTGTTCTAAAGTTCTCCTCGTTCAAATAAACAAGTACACCCAATCATTGAGATTGCTTGTTTAGTAGATCATAGCCATTTGAAACTAGGACATATAAGTTTTAGATTCATCTTAATGAAAATGAAATATAAAAATATAACAATTAACAAAGAAGTCTGAAGTCTGATATTGTAGAAAGGAATTCAGTTAACTACTACTTTTTTTATGTAAAGTTTGACTTTCCCAGCTTATCCTCAATTGTTCCTTTCAATCAATGAGGTGGGTACTATGCCGGTTCTGCCTTTGCGTGCCAACCACGGAAAAAAAAACCTTCAGGCATGAGACGTTGTATCTCAGTATTTAAAATTCCAGTTGAACTCCGTCAGTTGCAATTTCATTCCTTCAAAGGGAGCTCAACTGCAATTCCATTGCTACGAAGTGTTGCCTGTTTTCCTTCATAGTAAAGCAAGAAAGAAATCACACAAAAGCGCACATAGGCAATCTATCTAATCATGTGACTGACAAACATAACATACATATACATAATGCAATGTCAAGCATATATATATATATAGATACATAGTTAATGACAAGTGAAAAACATACATAGTCAGTGCAATGGACACACACGTAATGACAAGTAACAAAACATGCATAAGATACATTGGCAGTGCAATGACAATCAAATATATATATATATATATATATATATATATATATATATATATATAGGATACATAAATATATCCAAAAAAGGGTAATACCAATTTCAATAAATAAACCCAAAAAAAAAAAAAACCCAGTTTGCTAAAGCAAAAGGAGTTTCGAGTATTTCAAAGTTAAAATTCATAAAATCATATCTAAGATCAACGTCACAAGAAAGATTAAACGAATTGAAACTATTCTATTTAAAAGTTAAGCAAATAAATTATATATATATATATATATATATATATATATATATATATATACCTTTTCCGAAACTACTCATGCCATTAATTGTCCTCTTACAAGGGAGGAACCCAATCTGCATCAAATCAACTTTGTCACAACAAAGAAAAGAGCTGTGTCTCTCACTTTGCTTCGTACCAGCCATTTAGCCTCAAATTTGCACAACATCTAGATTTGAAAATAAGAGAACACAATCAGAGTCAAGATCACAACCACCCAAAGAACAAATCAAAAGAAGAAGAGAGGAATTAGATTCAGATTAGAGTTAAAGATTACCTGGAGAAAACAAAAAGATACAAACGAAATCGCCAACAAAAATTAGGGTTTTTTATGAGGTGTATATATATATATATATATATATAGACGGAAAGGTGGATCTGAGTATTTTAATTTAGAATTGTTTTTGAGAGAGAGAGAGAGGAACTATGAGAGATCCGTAGTCTGAAAGTGGTGGTGAAATGGTGGTATTTTAAATGAGGATGGAAGGCTACTATGGTCTTTTCACAATGAACTTTAAAATTGACCGGTCAAAAAGAGGCATGTGATTTTCTGATGCCACGCAGTCCTTTTTAGCTTTTCAGTAAACGTAAAAAAAAATTGAGGTCTTTTTGACCCCAAAGAAAAAATTTGATAAATATGACAACTCAAAAGTTATAGTTGATGCCCTCGGGCTTGGATGAGTTGGTAAGAGATCTTCAACCCACCTATCATTTGAGTTGTTAATTCAGAGTTGTTAATTCAAAATATAATAGATGGGTTAAAATTTGTGGTCTTTAATGGTCTACTATATTACTTGTTAAAATTTGGCTTTACCATTTTTGGTACCAATCAAATCTAGCACCAGAAATAATTACTACTATTTCAGAAGAGAAAGAGAGAGGGGCGATGGAAACTGAATATGGATTTTGATTTTTTGAACAATCTGAAATGATACGCCGATATGAGTTCAAATATATATATATATATATATATATACACACACATATATTTAAAAAAGATCATAAAAAATTTCACTAAATAGGGATTTAGTTTGCAAAACAAGAATTATAGACCTTGATTGGTTGATTTAGAAAAAAAATTAAAACAAAACCTATACGTACAAGTTAGCAATTGCAGAGAGAGAGAGAACCGGCCATAGCAGCCGTGTTCGATTGCAGGTAACATGAACCCTTGTACAACCCGAAACTCAATGCGCAAAGAAGAGCCTTATTTTACCGTCAGTAGTGAAAGCAAGAATCCAAGGGTTGACTTCTATCTCTAACTTTAGAGAAAATCTGAAGCCATATGGAATGTGTCTCTTTTCCAGCATTCACCAGTCAGCCTAAACCATATAAGGAAATCCTTGCGGGCGATGGAAACTGAAAGATTTGGGTTTTGAACTTCTGATTGTTGTTGATTTTGTAGTTTGCAGTTGCAGAGAGAGATAGATGGGCAATTTCAGAGTTGAGAACGAGTGAATAGAGATGGAGGCGATTTGTGAGGCTGAAATGATTTGCCCTAAAACTATATATATATTTGGGAGGCTGAAATGATTTGCCCTAAATATATATATATTTTTAATATTAATATAATCAAATATATATAATATATACATATATATATAATATATATATATAAATTTTTGAAAAAAATTTATACACACATATATATATATATATATATTTTTTTTTTTGGGTTCTTTTTTTACCAGATATTTTAGATTTTTGATTCTTTTTAATTAAGTTTAATTTTAATTTCCTTCTAATGTCTACAACTTGACTTGGAATGTGCCTAATATTAACATTATTGATGCAAATATGAATGGTGGGAATGGTAGTTGAAAAGAATAGTGGCTGTGTTAAAAAATAACATTTTCATCATTGGAGCAGAATTGCTAAAATATAACATTTTGACATTATAGCACTGTTAAAATATAGATTTGGCATCCGAATTTGGCATTTTAGTATTGGAGATGCTCTAAGGGTTTGGTATTGGCTTCAGCCCGACTAGTGTTCGAACCTTGCTAGTCTCTCTTATCATTCCCGACTTGTCCGGTGTATCCTTGGTAAGCGCGGCTTTGCACCAAAAAAAACAAAAGTTAATAGTTGAAGCAGTTCATTTCACCTTGACACTGTTTATTATTTAGTCTCCCTAAAATATGTTTTTCAAAATACTTATTTATTTATTTTTTTGATATTTGATAAAGATTTAAGTTTGCTGGACATTTAAAATAATTTACTAAATTTTTTTTTTCATAATAAAAATAAAAAATTTAAAAATTATTTTACATCAAAACCAATGGAGGTTAGTTTTTCTTGGTACCTAAATATTAATGAATCAAAAACGTGGTTGTGATTGTGGTTGTGGTTATGGTTATGGTTATGGGCATGCTGAAATAGTAAACACCAGTTAAGCAACCCACGACCATACACGAGTTAAGCAGCTCATGATGCTTACATGAATCAGTACAGTACACCTTTCGCTGGAAGGAAATTTTTTTTTTATTAAAAGTTAAATAAATTATTGAAAAGTAAATAGATGATATTAGTGTTTGAGAGTCCCTTTGAAAATATCACATTTAATTATCATAACTCATATTCTAGTGATATTTTTTTAATTTTAAAATAAAAATTAAGATTCAGTTTTTTGTAGATCAAATGTGTGGGTTATTTGTGAGCTTAGAAAAAATAGTAGTCGATCAGTAATATTTAATTTTCTGAAGCATTATTACTCAGTAAAGAAAGAAGTGAGAGATTAAACATGACATTTTTCTTGTAATAAATAGGCAGTTGAGAGAATAAAGAGGTATAAATTGGAGAGGGAACAATTTGAGAGAGGGAGAAATCTGCATACAGCTATAGGAAGAGAATGTCGGAATGGCTATATATGTTTATATATAGAGAGAGAATCAGCTGCTCGTGAAGAGATTCATTTGCAGAGGATCCACACACATTGATGAAACCGTGTCAAGATTGATCTTGTCAAACCTGCAAAATCTCAGCTGGCATCACAGAGCTTTTATGTGCAAGAAGCACATTAATGCCCATTGAAATGATTTTGTGTTTGAAAATATATATCATTAATTATCATAGCTCATATATAATCCAGTGACACTTTCTTAAAATTAACATTAATAAGTACGTGAGTGATGATATTTGTACCAATTTATTATACTGAATTACTTAACTGGATGTATTTATGCACAATAACATGTAAGTGAAGTTATGTAATTTGTTATAGTGAATTGTCAGACTTATTTCTTTTAATTAATCAATTTATGTATAAACAAAAAATAGACCTTACACTTAGAGTAATGACAATTGCACCAATTTGTTGCAGTGAATTACCTAATTGAATGTTATTGATTGGTTATTTATGCACAATACATAACTCTTCAACGAAGGAACGAGGAAGCGGTGCTCTTATCCGACGACCAAAGATGCCACTCGTGACCTCTATCAATCGGTCGCATATGGTCCTTCGGGTTGTTTTATCTACGTCACGCTACACAAGGTCAGAAATACCCCGGCAACAGTTCTGTTCAACATGCTGGTTCCGGTACCAGGCATTGCCAACCATTTCTACAACAACCTCACCCCCTAATCTCAGTATATGCAAGGAAAAGCGCATTCTTCAAACAGGCATCTAGTAACCTCACCGCGCAAAGGCTGTAACGCAAAGCCTCCTAGTATCTTTCATGGCCCCCGCCCTAATAACTTTTTCTTTATGCTGTGTGTAATTGAGAAACTCACTTTATTAAGAGAAAAGGCGCGAAAGGCAGACCAAGCAAGAAGCTATTTAGTAGATTTTGTGATCCAACCAACCTACCATCATCGCTACACCAACTATCGATCCCAACCGACCGAGAAGAAAGAGAAGGCGGACAGAACCACACGTCTTTCTTGCAGGCCAAGAAGGCAGAGGCTGGGCCAGAGACTGAGATTCATTTTGCTTTTTGTGCTTTGGCCCGAATTTACAGGGATAACATTTGACCAACCTACCACCTACCGAGACTTTCCTCACTCGGAAGATCACTTCTACAAAAGTAGGGAAGCCATTTCTTGATTAGAGAAGTCATAAAGGACGTTTTCCATCTTGAAAACGGACGATTGAAGAAAAGAGAGTCCATCCATCAACAAGGGGGTATAGCGTTCCTTTAAGGTCATGCAAATGGGCATTGAATGGAAAGTTTATTCGATTAGATAAAGAGGATATTCCACATTTTCCTCAAAGGTGGATCCGGCGGTGAGGGCAAGGGCTCTTTCTTAAGCAGCTCGGCCGGAGGGCGAGGGCGCCGACCAGAGAGTTTCTAAGGGGCAAGCCTCTTATCGGGGGCTTGGAGCCTTCAGAAAAGAGAAAGCAAGGTGAAATAGCGCCTATTTGAATCCCCTTCCTTCCCGTGTGCTTCCAACTGATGAGTTAGTGGGAAGCTTTGGCTTTCTTGTGTGACCATTTAGGATAGAAACCTCAAATCTTTTGCCCCTTTCTTGAGGAAGTGGCCTGCGGATTTACATTAGGTGTAGGCGCTTTCCAGCCCTTTCTATCAATTTGCACTGGGAACATAGAGCAAGAATTCCTATCCGCTTGTGAAAACGCAAGGCGGGGCAAGTTTGGTTGTTTTACCTATTGTATATTCAGTTTTGTTGATCCGCAAAGACATATATTTGGTCGGGGGCTAGATTCGGGTTTGCATGACTGGGGTATACGCTTCGATTTAGATCTGAATACAGGGGGCGGGGCCAGAGGGTGAATCTGCTTGTCAGACAGTCACGTAGGATATGTGGGCCTTGACTTTCTCTCGTATCGATCAGTATTAACTTGAAAAACCCTTTGGCTATTGAGTCAAATGCAAGTCTGTAGTCTCAGGATACCAGATGCTCTCACCTATTATTATATGAGAATTCTCGATGAGGCCTATCCGGTTGAGAGAGTCGGGTAGGAGAATGAAAGTGGAAATTCAATCAAATCTTGGCAGTCAGTTTTAGAATCATCTCTTTATTCAGGTAAAGAAAGCGCAGTTTATTAATGAAATAGTCCTATTTTATTAGTAGGGGTTCATAGCAAAGGGCCAGGAACATACTGACCTGACCTTTAGTTCGAAGAAAGAGGGTCGTTGCCTTATTCGAACTATCCTCCTATATAAAGAGTTTCGGAAATGAAGAAAGAAAAGCGCAAATGAGCAGCAGGAGAGAGCCTATTCCGGATCCGCCTTTCTGCATCATTTTATGTGTATAGGGGGGATTCGCTAACTGTCTTGCGTACAACGCTTGATGACGCCAGGAGGCATTTCAGAGCAGATATTCAATTGGGAGCTCGGTATCCAAGTCACTTGCATCCACCGAGATCTAGAGCTTGGACTTTCACCTTTCCATGGGGAAAGAGATTTCGTCAAAACAACAGCTAGATAAGGAATTTACCTAGAGGTGCCTAAAACCCGAAGTTGGCCTTTCTTTTGTCGAATGCTTCCAAATGAATCGTTTTCTGGTTTCTTTACTGCTCTTTCTTTGGATGATCTCAAGGCCGATTTCCATGGACATGAAGATGACAATGAAGATATTGTCAGTCCTACAGCATCTCTTGTCACCACCAGACGCACCACCTTTTCAAACGTATTACATGCTTTGACCGCACACAAAGAAAGCTATCTATAGGTTGGTCTATCTAACTCGTCAACTTCTTCGCTACGACGACGGATTTGGAACTTGAAGCTCAACAAGGGTAAAGAGACGACAAAAAAACTATAGAACTTATCTGAGCTCAGTCAATGTTAGAACTCCTGGAATGAAAAGTGGTTTACCCGCAGCAAACATCTATACCTATTGATCAGGACACGCTGGTTAGCAAAAAAAGCCACTATCATCCATCTATCAGAGTGAGAGCTCGCTCATGCTTCTGCCACTTATTTAGCTTAGTCTCAATCGCACCTTTCAAAAGATGAAACCATGAAATTCAGTAAGAATATATGGAGCAGTTCGACTTGCGTTGTTCGCGGGTTAGCTTTTGTAATGCTTTCGGCAGAAGTCTGCTGTAATTACATTTAGATTGCATTTCCTATAGTTTAGTTTATTTCTTTCATTGGATTGGCTGCGTCTTTCTAAGGGCAGTCCTTTTATTGTATTGTTCACGGCGTATTATTTATTGATTCAAATCAAACTGGACTCGAAGCTAGGCTGTACCTACTGTTCGTTCGGAAGGCAACCTACATCTTCCACTAGACTTGGTTGGAACGGAATGAGACAAGCATTTGATCCTACATCTCACTGACGATACAAAGGAGCAATCCTGGCTGACAAAAGAGGGGAACTGTTAACACACTGGAAATGGTGAAGCTACGCGTTCGTAACCCATTTCATTAGATGGGGTCCTCTCTACCAATACCTAAAGGTTGGGCAACAGCGGCATTATATACGCGTTTAAAGAAATAGTTTGCATCCCTTGTTCAAGTTCCTGTTGCTGACTCAGTTGGGGGAATGGCCTTCATAGTGATTGATGCATGCAACATAGCTTTCCAAGCAAAGGTGGAAGTTGGGCTAAAAACCCCACAAAATCGTCCTAACCGTCCTTTTATTTAAGAAGACTAAGAGAAAACAGCAAAAATGCTGTTAGATATAGTTGGAAAAGCTGTAAACCCAATTTCCGCACTTATACGACCAAAGAATTGAAAAAGTGGAGTCTCCTATAGCAGCGAAATGAGTCAACCTACTTTTCCTTAAGAAAACGGGCAGTCAATTGAAATAGTTTAGTCGGCTATAGATGTCAAATGACTGAACTGGCTGTGTGATATCACTTCTGAACTTTATTTTTCTTGATTCTCATTCTTTCATTCTCTTACATAATGAAATCAAATTCATGATAGTACGTGGTCAAACCTGGTGAACCGGACCGGGAAAACATCAGCCAAGTGAATTTCATATTCAAAACAACCTGCGCCTTACGGATTGAGTGAGATCGAGATCGAACGTTAAGCTAGCTCGTCTGGGCATTTGAATCATTGAGAAGCGGATAAACTCAGTTGCCAGAAGATGGCTCTTTTTGCATTGCAACGATGAAGCTTGAGAGGCAGATGATCCCGAAGCGTGAACCAGATTCAGAGAAAAATTCCATACCTATATTAGCAGGCGAGTCCGATACTAAGAAGCTTGAATAAGATTCTACAACACTCCTTTATTGGTCTTCGATAAGTCGATGAACCAGATGAAACAATCCATTTCATAGTCGAATGCAGCAGATGTAGCTACATGTTGCAGCGGATTCGGCTACATATTGAAATAGCAGCTCAAGCGTAGCGATAAAGTGAGTCAGATACAGCTTCAAGAAAGTGTTATGAATTGTTTCATTATGTATTATCGAATACTGAAAGAAAAGAAGCACCAGGACACTTGACCACATTTGAGTAACCCTTTTCTTCAACTTCCGCTAGTGGATCTGGCCCCTCTCGAACAAAACTCTTAATCCATTCTATTCCTCAATAAAGTCTGTTTCTTCTTCATTCAACAATCTGAAGGTAAGGGCGAGACTAAGGTTGCCCTGAAGTTCAGGCATTGGAGCAGATGTGTTGGTAGTGCTTGGCCTTGAAAGTGGTCGAATTTACCCCTGAAAGCTACTCTTCATGCGAGCTATGAAATCGGTAGAATAGAATCATCATAATATCTACTATAGACGGAAGCATGTCAAATAGGAATCGAAAGGATCGCGACATCCGCTTGACAAAGAGCCATCTTCCTGGAAATGAGTGTATCCCGCTTCTCACCGAAGATACTGAAGTTTCGGAATTAAATTAAGGATCTAACTAGAAAACCTATTCGAACAGAACCAACTCAACCTTTTCTATTGTTATTGCAGCGGGACCGGATACCCACCTCTAACTGGGCGTGACCCATCTATGCTGCAATCAGATGTTTTGAAGCCGTTTAGAGACCATATAATTCATTTTAGAAGTGATTCACTCTTTCAGCATTCCTACCTAGTTCCAGTTGAGAGAGGGGGATTAAACTTCGTGGAATCAACCACTCTATCAGTAGAGAGAGCACTTGAATAAACAGAAAAAAGCTTGTGCTCCTGGTAATGACTGAGTTTCCCGCTGTCTGAAAAAGATATACGGACTTAGCCGCCACTCTTGCACTTATTTCGTAAAAGTTTCTATTTTGGGACTGGAGTAGCTGCTGTCGGAACGCTTGTATTTTCTCAGTTTAGACGCCCAATTATGAGTTGGTTTTCTTCCCAGCCCCTTAAGTGAAATGATTAGAAAAGCTCGCATCGGTTGTTGAAGTGGATGGAAGGGTTAAGAACATGTTGCAATTAAGGTTGACGGAGAAGTCACCAAACTGCAAGACTGGTCTCCCTGTCTGGCTGGTCAGGTGTGATCTGTCCTCTGGAATTGATCTCCATTTTTCTGTTATCTTTACGTTCTCGCCTGGCTGGTATCTGCGAGATCGACCCTCTTTCGGGGAGAAACATTAGGTCTGATATTGATCATGTTGCCCCCGCCGAGGCTGGAAATGGATTGGCATCCGCCCCCATAGGTTCCTTATTTTGATCCGGGAATCTGAGGGCACCTTTCTCGATCTTGTCCTGAATGACATTTCGAAACAGCAGACAATTGTTAGTATTATGTTTCCAAGACCGGGGATATTTGCAATATGTTTTTCCTTTAAGTTCATCAGGAGAAGGGATGCTATGGCCAGGTGGTAAGTTGATCATCTTGTCTGCTAACCACGAGATCTAAGATTTTCTCTGCCTTAGTAATGTCAAAAGAATCAGTCCTACCGGCCTCTGTGGTGAATTTGATGGCCAGCACAGAGGAGACAGCTGAACGCCGTTCATTGTCTCAGGTGGCTAACTAAGGCTTTACATAAGGAGGGGTATTTCACAGAAAGCTCTGCCATAGCTATCTCGAGAGCGGGTTCTTCCTCACCCTCAGGTTCTGTATCCGTAACATGGATCTCAAAGTGCAGGTCTTTCAAAGAGGTTCCTTTTTTTGGATGAGGCCTTCCTGTCTCTCTCTTCTCTTAGCAAAGTAGGCTCAACTCACACTTTTGGCTTGCTACAAGCTGGGCTCAAGGACTGCTGTTAGCCGCTTCCCCTGTAGTCGTCAGCTCGTTCTTGACAGATCCGACCGGGTGTTCATAATCTGGAGTAAAAGGATTCGAACCTTTGCATGCCGGTACCAAAAACCGATGCCTTACCACTTGGCTATACTCCATACAACCTTGGACGGTAGAACGGGGAGAGGGGGGAAGGGAGAAGCAAGGCTCCAACAAGGAGCGAGCCATGCAAGGACGCGGGAATATAGCAAGTAAGCAGCAAGGTTCTCCCTTCACGGACTGACTACAACAAGCTCGCGACTCTATCTAATAGAAAGAAAGGGTAAGCTCTCGGCTCTATTTGCTTGCAATGCTATGCCTATCAAAGTTGGCGAACGCTTTGCTTCTGTAACCTTAGACTCGTTACGCTGTTCGACTGAACTCGTTGGCTCCGCGTCCACCGAAAGTCGGTAACCTTCGTCACCGTCAGCATTTGTCCTCTTGATAGCTTCAATAGTTCACTGAAAGCCTTTGGTGTAATGAACCGCAACGCAAGCCCTTCAGAAAGAAAGACATAATCAAAAAAGAAAGGCTTGGTTGCGGTAACCGACGTTCCCTTTGTAAAGTAAGCCTTTTTCTAACTAATTAGAGTGGACATGAAATGGATCACGGAAGAAGACGTATCTGATGAATGAATGATGGAATCCCTTCCCACTCACACGGGTGGGTTCTTTTATGGAAGAGGTTCCCCTTCTTCTATGTGAGGTGGGGCGTACGTAAGAGTGGGATTTTCTCTTGATCCTAGGAGCGCCGGCCGCCGATATAGTGACCATGCTTACCAGCTCTGACCATTGCCGCCTATAGATATAGATGGGGGTGGGTAGGCGCGAGGGTAGCTTGCGACGTATTTAGATAGAATATATAACCTGCACATGTTATTCGCGAAGAAAAGGCAGCGAGCGGTTCTTCGCTCAGTAGAGCGACGACGACCCCTTCTTCTTTTTGTTCTCGCCCAGCCACTTCTTTTGATTTAGATTATGATTGAGAATCCTAGACTAAATAAGAAGATCCTGAATCAGCGCAGGGCCAAATCAGCAGCAGAAGAACTAACTTGCCGCCGGTGACTTTCTCAGGGCTCCGCAGAAGACGAAAGAAGGGGTCCAGGTCCAATTTCTAATGAAGTGAAGGTCCCCGTTACTCCCTATTCTCTCTGAAAGGCTTTATAAAGCTCGGCAAGAGAGGGTTGGTTAAAAACTATTGACTGTAAACCATAGCAATTAGAGTCACTCAATGGAGATGTTCGCCTTTGGAATGAATATAGATGATCAGTCACTTGAGCCTGGAACTGCTGATCCAATTCGTGGAAAACAGAAAAGATGTCACCGTCGAGACACGGCCGCGACTTAAGATTCAACGTTGAAAAGACTAAAGGAACGGGGGAATGACTACCTGTAATAAAAAAGCACAGGCTAAGCCGACCAGAAGAAGCAAGGCTTAGATTACCAGATCCAGGACACAATTTTCCGTCAGATGGAGAACCTTAACCCCTTGCCTCGCCTTTTCTAGCCTCTCCTTCTTGCTCTTGCTTACCTAGCTCTTGTTTTAGCGATTCTTCCTCTTTTCTAGGTTTTATTCTGAGTGAAAACGGTAGATTTAGCATTTGCCAATGAATTGACTCCGCCCCGATTC